GAAAGTAAGTTGCGAAAGTTGCGATTTCTTCCTAAACAACGGAAAGTTGCGAAAAAAGTGGCGAGCATCTTTGAGAAAGGGCTACCTACAAGTCTCTCCGCAGTCGAGACTGGCACTCAGCCACAGATGCCCTCTGAACCCTCCCTGAACACCCTCTCTGCTTCCACCCTGGCTCCCCCCTTTTTATTATTTATTTATTTTTTTATTAACTGGTTTGAGGGAAAGAGACTATTTTTTATTTTTTTATTTTTTTTAGTGCAATTAGGAGTATAATCGATGCAGACATGGCCAGACAACAACGAGTTCATGGAATTTTTTTAAGGATTTTTATGTTATTCAAAATCGATTTTCGTGTTCCGCTCATCAGTGAATAGTATCGGAACTGAGGTTCACACTTTTAATTAATTATGCTGTTATAAAATGTTCTATTTTTGTACACAGTACCCTCAGTTCCGATACTATTCACTGATGAGCGGAACACGAAAATCGATTTTGAATAACATAAAAATCCTTAAAAAAATTCCATGAACTCGTTGTTGTCTGGCCATGTCTGCATCGATTATACTCCTAATTGCACTAATAAAATTGCTTTCTCCACGCCGACTCTTTATTTTTTTTATTTCTTCTTTCTTTTTATTTTTTTATTCTATCACATGTACAGTATCATCTTTCCGTTTTCCTTCCTCTATATAAATGTACTCCCCCCCCCCCCTCCCCGGCCCTGTGCCTACTCCTCCCCAGTTTTTGGTGCACTGAAGTGTCGCTGAAGCCGAGACCTCAGGTCGACGGAGATGCTCCAGTTTCACCACCACAGTTGCATCTGCAACCACCTCTATCATGCAGTATTCTGTTCTCGAGGTTCGTGGTTTCTCGTATTAAAAAAGAAATAAAAATAAAAAATCTACTCCGGATGGCAGTCGTTAGTCCTGCAAGGGTCCAGTTTGGCAGGAAGCTTGTGTTTCATATAGGAGCAACCAACTTCATCATCAATTCTTGTTCCCATATGGGAACAAGAATTTTTTTTATATGGGGACAAGAATTTATGATGAAGGTTAAAATACTAATACACTGTACCGCCGAAGTCGCTGCTTTTAAGCAGATATTGGGTTTTTTGGTTTTTGTTTGGGTGTATTTTGCTTTGCCCATTTAACAACGGGAACTAAATGCTGTATGCACTGCTCTTTACGTTATTTTCTCCCTATGCAAGTCGCAACTCCTGTTTTGAGTTGTTTTTCTTCTCTCTTTTTCTTTCCCTACTAGTTGCTGTTACACTCACTGATCCTTATGCACAGATATACAGCATTCCCTCACTAGTGGGACCATTGTTATTAGGCTAGGGCCTGGTTTGGACTAACCACTCTAAATAAAGAATACAAACAAACAACAACAACTGGGCCCAATTGCATAAAGGCTAATATGGAAGGAAACCAGCAAAGAAGGATGAGCACTCCAACAGCCTTTCAGCCCGTGCTAGTCTTGGTTGCGCTCACCTCCCCCCCCCCCCCCCCCCTATGTTATTTCTATGACATTACTTGTTGGAGTGCGTATCCAAGACCCTTATGTTATTTCTATGACATTACTCGTTGGAGTGCGTATCCAAGATGTGCTAGAGCTGATTGCCAGTTAGGTGTAGATCGTCAGTACCGTTGGTCAGTGTCGTGCAATGTTATCGCATGAGCTGATTGTAAAGTAACTGGTAGTGTTATTGGATATTATAGTGTAACTTGTAGCTCTTTGGTCCTCTTTTCTTCTTATCAATCAATTCTTGTCACCAAGCAGCTTTCTTATGATCTGTTCACTGACAATGGAATCAAGACCATCTGTTCTGAGTACTATCGGTCCACATTTGTTCTTAGTTCATTTTGCCCATAATTTATTGTACCTTCATATCAAATAGCACTTTCGCCCAGTGTTTGCCCACAAAATTATATAATGCTAACCACACATGTCTTGCTATTCACTGCAATTATGGAACTACTTCATTTATGACCTCCATGTCACTATTGACAGTATCACTTTTCTATTTGCTGCAGCACCAGTAACAACAGCAGTAACTGCTACTCCAACTACCATGGCAACTACCATGGCAACAACAGTGCTAATTACCATGCCAACTACAATGCCAACTTCTTCACCAACTGCCCCATCCACTACTATTCCGGCCACAACACTAACCACCACATTAGCTACAACATCAACTACCCCTCCAACCACCATTCCAACACCAACAGCTATGTCTATTACCACAATGACGACGACTTTATCAGCAGTGATTGTGCTCAGGACAACGCTAAAAGTATCGGTGTCTCCATCGTCATTGCCGGATCCAGCGTCAACAGGTGAGAAACTGAGAGATCCCAGCTTATTTACCTCTTTTAAGACCTCGCTTGGAATGATTTCATGGCTTTCAGTGGAATTTATTCTCTTTGTGGGGTCACCGACACAGTGACTTTGCACAGCAATTACTATTGCCATCACCTGCGCCACCTTCTTTACCGCCAGTTACTGCATGGACAGTTATGTTTGGAACTGTCATCCACGGAGGCCACCGTTCCTGTTACCTCGATACCATACAAAAGGAAACATCAAAGTCCACGGTGAGCAGTGAACAGGACTGGTCTCGTAGTAGGGCCACTTTTTAACTGAATGTTTTTGTTCCTTTCTCTTCATGGGTTGATACAAAGAATAAGAAAATGACATACACAGCAGCTAGATAGGCGTGCAAAATCATTGACTGCAACCTCAGGATACATGTGTGAACTAATATCTTTCACCTGAAGGGACAACATATTTTACTTCAGAACATAATATAGCTCGGGGAAAACTTACAATTGTTTTAAATTATGATGCCTCCAAAGCAACCAAATGTAACGTGAGCCAAAACTGAAAATAGTACCATCTCTGAATACATCAGAGGACCTATCACTACCTGACTAACAATGCTTGATAGCCAACTGCTGGTTCATTTGATTGGTGAAACGTCCAGCTAGCCTTTGTCCATGCCTCCAATGTCACACCTTGTAACCTTTCCTTACCATTGCGCTGTTGGGTCCCTGGTCCCCTGGGTGTCTGATTTTTCCGCTGACGTGATCGGTGGCCGGCTTTCGTGGCTGTCTTTCACACGGTTTGTTATCACTTCCAGGATGGTAGTCTGCTCATCCCTCTCCGTGTGTATCTTCATTTTTGTCTATGATTGACTCTTCTGTTCTATGCCGCTGCCGTTGTATTCTTCGGTGTACTTTTGAGAGCACACCTGCATACGACATGAGTGGGTTGCTATGCACCCACACACTGTGGAGAATAGCAAAGTCACACCTTAGTGGATCCAAAAGTGGAAATCTGACGTGAACTTACTGAACAGTCAAACACCCACCAACAGTGTGCACAGTGATGTCGGAGATCAAACGGTGCCCCAAACTCCAACACAAGGTTCAAATGTCTCCCAAACGTCAACACAAAATATCGGTATTAAAGGCCAGCAATACCATGTTCCTGTACTGTGTGTATTGCTCCTGTACATGTATAGAAAGTAAAACTTCGTCTCGGACCACCTGACTGCTCAGCTCCTCTGAGTTAGGTACAGTCGAGATGGGTTTTTTGGATATGCAGGTGGACCTGGTTTGATGTGCCAGATTATGGCCCAAGTCAACTCATTTGTCCGGGAGTCTCTGGCCATGGACAACGTAGTCAAAGAGCTCTCATCTCAGGGTACAGCCATTCGCAACTAATAACATCTTTGATCTGATCGAAACTCACCACATGTTTCCAAAACAGCACGCGTGCACGTGTGCGTCATTGGAGGGAAAGTCATGCAAACACAAAATTCGCTCGAGCATTCGCAAAAAAAGTTCTCAAGCCCGGACGCGAGAATCAATGCGAAGTCTCGCTCTGGAGAACCTCTCCAATATTGTTCCCAAACCTGGCTAGAAATGGAGAGTGAGTCCGGAAGATAGTGTGGAACATTGTTTGTAGAATCCAAGCAGATAAGACCCCATGTATCTGCCCTGTTAAAAACCAAATTATGTGATAACCAATAGGGTAATTCAACTACAGTAAAACCTGTAACTAAAGACCACCGTGACTAGCGACCAGCCTGCTACTACCGACCACTTCGCCAGGCACGGACGGTCTCACATTCAAAATGCACTGTGACTAGCGACCAGGGAGTCGTAAAATACCGGGAGGCGACACGAGATGCACAACCGCGTCGGATGATTGCCTCAGCTCGGGCACGAGTGCTGAGACCTCACGCGCTGCATGGCGAGGGACTTCCCAAAGCGGCGCAGGTCATGCAAAAGGACGCGTTCGCTGTTTGGTCCAAAAAATTTCAATAAAATTATCCTGCACACAACGAATCCAGTGTCAGCAGCTCGTTTTGTTTCTCAATAAAATTATCCTGCACACAACGAATCCAGTGTCAGCAGCTCGTTTTGTTTTTCTAAGGCCACACCAAGTTATTTCATTGTTTCTCGTCACCTGAAAATCTCAAAAGGAACGCGGGCGGGCGGAAAAAAAACAAAATAGGGTTTGAAAAACAAAAACTGCTATTTACACTACAAAGGCCCAATTTATGACCTAAAATCAGACTATACACCACGCGTGACAGTCAATTGCAACATACAGCCAGAAAACCAGGCTCCTGCACCGGCCTCTGGTGAGGAAGTCCAGTGTTGCATGTTATTTAAATAGGAAAGAAAGCAAACCAAAGTTATTATACAAGGGGTACATAAAAGAACAGCCAAGTGCGCGCAAAGAAGACGACCAGGTCGTGTGGTGGTGTGGTACTTGAACTACCGGTATGCGTACATACACGGTGCAAAAGTCGTCCTTCGGTTCGTGCACTAGCACTGCACTCCAGATTTGACGCCGCGCGTACTTTTACAACGCCTTTTTATGCGTGTTTACCGGGACGCGAGATTTTTTTTTTTTGGTCCAATCCTCAAGAAAGGTACGCGCGCGGTGACGAGAAACAATGAAAAAACTTGGTGTGGCCTAAGTATTAAATAATACTTTGTGCTTTGGCCTTCGAAGTAAAGGATGATGGAGCTTGACAGAGATGACTGCCAAAGTGATGAGTCCACCGTGGAAGATGTAGATGACGCCACGTATTCACTTGGTGACCTGAGTTGTGGGGATGTTCAGCTGTGGGCTACAGGTGAGATTCTTTCGTTTGCATGTTTTTGTCTCTTCCTTGTGGACACGAATGTATAATCTGTAGCATACCTAAGTGCCCGAACTGACCCGATAAATTAGGTGGTCGACACCATCCTTTTCATCCTAGTCTGCCCACGATGCATTGTCTGTTCACTGTGACAGGATATTTATTGAAGTCCTGAAAATTTACGTGTGTACCTAGTATGTATCATCACCGTAGATGATGTAAACCTCCATCCTCAAACCATACTTTGTCTATGTGCAGATCGATGTAAGAGTGGTAGTGCCATCATGGTGTACAGGCCTATGGAAGGTGCAGTGATCCATGGAATTTGCAAACTGCTGACAATGAGACAGGCGAGTGTTACTGAGGCGACGGAGTCATTCCTGCATGTTATTATGACACGGTTACACAAGGCATCAGGTACTGCAAATCTGCTACGCCAGGAAGTGTGCCAGCTGAAGGCATGCAAGGGTGCTGATATTTCGCAAGCATGGCAACAAATGCTGTCCGTCATCGCAACAGCTATTCCCGAAGTGAAAATCAATTGTGAAGGTCAGTGCGTTTTGCATGCATGTTGGAAAAAAATTGGCTTCTGACTAGGTATGCAGACTAGGTATGCAAACGCTGGCTTTTGAATACTAGTACAGTCTCTGCAACCACCAGTCCTTATATGTTGTCTTTTTCTTTTCTCTTCTTCAGATTTGGAAGTTACATCTGCAGTGCTAGCGAATCTGATAAGCTACCTGCATGCCACGGCTGCCGCTGCTATCAGGAAAGCGTCAATAGCACCATCCAAAGCTGCTGAAGCCATCCCCGAACCGGTGATTGACAATTTGTCTCACCTTGCTGAAAAGTACCATGGTGGTTGGTGCTTGGTGGCCATGCGGCGTGAGCTGGAAGGAGCAAGGTGTCGCAACGACAACTTGCTGCAGCTTATACCTTTATTTGGCAAGGATGCCGTGACAAGCCTTCAGCCTTGTTTGGAGAATTCAGGTGGCCCGGCGTGGCTCGGAAGCTCTGTATAAGACACCATACGTCACAGATAAAAACAACTGAACCAGTGATATGTGAATTTTGCGCTTGTGTGTGTGTGTGTGTGTGTGTGTGTGTGTGTCCCATATGGTGCAGTGGTATGTGCAGCGATTTCCAATCGATAGGTTGCGGGTTCAATTCCCGACGATTATGGTCACACACGTCTTTCTTCTCTTTCTCAGACTCTTCCTGACTTTTCTTTCATTCTCCTGGGTGGTTACCAACAGCCAGTGTATGCCGGAGTATGTGGTGTGGTGTGTGTGTAGAAAAAGAAAAAAAGAAAAAAGAAAAAAAATGGAAAAATGAAAAATAGGGATTCACTGGCCAGAAAAAGTCACTTCAAACAGCTGTGTGGTGGATACCAGGCTAAAAATAGTGGCGGTCAATTCATCAGCCTTGCAAGCTGTTGAATGGTGTAATCCCAGCACAAGTTGCTATGTCTAAAACATAGCTGTTCGCTATCATCGCTCCCGCGATGGGCATGTCTGAGGTCTGAGGTGTGTGTGTGTGCTTCTGTGATAAGTGGTATAAGCAGTCCACAGGGTATTCACCTTGAGTGCATTCGCCGATAGTGTGACTTTCGTCGCACAGAACATTCTTCAGTTGGTCAGGTGACTCGGCGTGGCTCGGAAGCTCTGTATAAGACAAAATACGACACAGATAAAAACAACTGAACCAGTGATATGTGAATTTTGCGCTTGTGTGTGCACGAGCATGCATGCATGTGTGTGTGTGTGTGTGTGTGTGTGTGTGTGTGTGTGTGTGTGTGTGTGTGTGTGTGTGTGTGTGTGTGTGTGTGTGTATGTGTGCTTGTGTGTATGCTACTGTGATAAGCGGTACAAGCAGTATACAGGATATTGACGGGTATTCACCTTGAGTGCATTCGCCGATAGTGTGACTTTCGTCGCAGAGAACTTTGCTCAGTCGGTGAGGCGACTCGGCCTTACGTTTCCTGAAGGCAATGTGTTCAGAACAGTTATGAACAGCTATGAACAGTTAAGAAATGACAAATATTGTTTGCAGTTCATGGGCCATATAGATGTGAAACACTTTGAATGCAGAAGAATGAGGATAGTGGCATCAAATACTGCATGGATTCTGTTTGATATGCTACTTTTTTTTCCCTTCCATGGAAAGGTGAGTACATCGTCGAACTTCATCTCGAAACTTCACACAAACCTAGAATGGAACTTGGACAACATGAAGGGGCCATGGGCATGGTGTGTTTAGTGGAGAACTATTCCGAAAACAGGGTGTCATTCGCATTGACTCAATTCAAATTTGAGTACATTTCGTGAATACCTTACCTTGACATTCCGTCGTCTCCAAAGCAGTGAACTTCCAAAAAAAAATAAAAGCCACGGCTCAACCTAAGGTAATGCGTGGTACGTATCAGAAACAACCAGCTTTTGCTCTGGAGATCCAGAATAGCCTCGAAGCATATAGCAAAAACAATTGAGAAAAAGAAGATGACGACGACGTTTCAATCACGCTTCAAATTTCGCGGGTCGAGTGCGGCAATCCTCGGATCGTGAAATGTGTGGCGTGTGTCGCCTCCCGGTATTTTACGACTCCCTGCTAGCGACTACCTGCTGAGCGCGACCAGCGACCGCCTTTTCTTGTCCCAAAGACCATTTTTGACCCGTAACTAGCGACCGCGATGTAGGAAATCAAATGTTGCTCGAAGCTCTTTCTTGAAATTTTGATGATTTTCCGTGGTCCTGAAAGGCATCTTTCGATACTACAGCTGAAGAAATGAACGCAGGTTATTTTTGACTGTGGAGTCGGTGTGGACTTCACTACACCTGTCAGAATTTCAAGCGCTGTCAAGAATAAACATGATATTAACCCTTTGTGGGTCTTACTCAATGTATGTGAGGGGTGGTCACGCAAACACGCGTACAAACAACCAGCCGTAACTCAAGTTCTGTTAGTTGTAGGTATGGGTAAACCATATATTTTCAAAATCTGGATGCCTGGACGAGTCCAGAAAACACAAATATGACTATGTCCAGGCAAGGGTATGACCCGTGGTAGCCCTTCAAGTTGAGAGAAAATACAATTGCGAACAAAAAGCAAAAAAATCACAGCACGAAGTGCATACCAAGTTCATGATGGAGCTGAAGTCCTATGATAAACAATCAGGTAAGCGCGACGTCTTTTGGGTAGAATATAATGCTCCTAATTCCGTCCTTGAACTCCAATACCTAGCCATCGGCGATGCACCAGCAGCAACAGTTCCGCAATATCACAATTTTGGTTCGTTCACCTATCGCCGCTCGCGTCAGATTCACTCTCGCTCAGATGAGTACTCAGGCGCGATGTCACGCATGCCGTGATTCTCACGGCCAGGCGAATCAGCTGATCGCACCTGACAAGTCCTTGTGAGAGTTGCTGTTGCTGTGCTGTCTCGCTGGTTGGTAAATTTGATTTCTTCATCTGGGGACGATTTATTTGAGCTAAGAGGACTCAACGGAGCTCTCTTTTTCACCACATTACACTGAAAATTCTCCAGGGACATCCAGCCTAGACTGGTGCCGTCAGTGTCCTCAGAAAGCTTTTCTGACACGGCCTCAAGAGATGCACTCCCATTCTCGAAATGCGCGCATGGCGGATGGTCGTCTTTTCCAATTTCACCAGACTTCAGCCGATCGATACTGCAAAAATTTGTATGGTAAGTATGGTTGTTTTTTACACCGTTGGAAAGCTTTGGACCTCAGCTACGCGTGGAGCACCATTTTAGCTGTCTCCTAGCAACAAAACTCACAGAAAATGCGATTTTACTGTAACTTAGTGTAAGGGTCACATACGACCCTTTCGCTTATGTGAGACCCATAAAGGGTTAAACGTCTTGGACTCGGAGGGTATCGAAAGCGCTCTCTGATCGATGTTACTACTCGGAGGAGAAACGAAGACTGAGCGGCTCTGTCACCCTAGTCATACAGACGAATCGACGATGGCATCAAGGAATCCGGAAACAAAGCAGCCCCGCAAGGTCCTGATGCTGGAGAATCGCGTTCAAGCAATCGAGAAGTCGCAACAAGGACAGTCGGTACGATTGATCGCATGAACAAATTTGAAGCCCAGCGCAAAACGAAACTTCCACAGGGAACGTTTGACTCCTGGCTTCAGAAGTAGGAGCTGAATTTGATGTCCGCAAAAAAAATAATCTCTCTCTCTCTCTGTCTCTCTCCATCTCTCCATCTTTCTCTCCAAGTGTTGTTTGACCTGAAATAAGAATGGCATTGCGCAAGTCTTGGGGAATTGTATTAGCTGCATTTTGACATACATAGCATATAATGGGATCCATATAATATGGTCGCACGGTGCAAACCTCTAACTAAAGACCACCTGCTACTAATGACCGTTTTTGCTGGCACCAAGGGGTGGTCGTTAGTCACAGGTTATACTGTACTGTACTCAGGACTGGTAAGTACACAATGTCATACTAAAACAATGCCAGCATGCATTCAGCTGCATCACAGGAGGGCAGGCTTTGCCAAAACTCCACTGCACTCTTCCATAGATTGGATTTCACTAGTTTCTTCGTTGATTCTTACCCACGTGTCTCACAAACACAAACTCTACATTTTAATGGCCCTCGAACTTATACTGCTGCCTGACTTCCATGCGTGTTTCAGATTCAAGCGCATCCACTGGCAGTTCTGGCGACTTCACTTCCATAGCAATAGGAGCAGGAATGACAGTGCTGGTTCTGGTGATGATCACTTGTGCTATTACTCTGGTGTGTAGACGAAGGAAAAGGTGAGATACATGACTCCAGGCTTGATAGCAGCATTTTTGCATCATAAAACATGATTTCCAAGCCAATCAGCCAAATCTTTTCTTCATGGAGTATTATTGTACTGAAGTAATGGGATCCGGAACATGCAATGTGAGTAGGAGTTTTAGTTTTAAACTATTTGCCAAACATGTGTACTTGTATCACCAAACTACATTGGCGGAGAATTACATATCGCCACACTAGAGCCGCCGCATTTACAGCACAACCCAGCGCTCATAGTACTATTGTCGCAGAAATCTAGATCTGAAAAATCATTGACCCCTCCCTGCCCCCCCCCCCTCCCTGCCCCCCCCCCCCCACACACACACACAGATACGGGAGCCACAGTTCCAGAATCAGATGAACAGAATCAT